CCCCAAGCCTGTGAAAGGAGAGCTGAGAATTGAGAAGTGGAGGAAAACGGGAATGGGTTGGGATGGGGTGGCTTTTGGGGGCTGGGTGGGTAATTGCAAATCATATGGCTGTGTCAAACTGCGTGGCCAATGATTCCTGACAGCCCTGCACTACATCCTCATGCACGGAGGCCAAGGGCTGAAGTAAGGAGGACCAGAAAGAGAAGTATGAGTCTGTCAGAAAACGCCTGGAGGTCGGAAAATTCTGTAAACTAAACAGAGACTTCTCCACAGCAGACTGGCTGCTTTAATTTAGTATTTGGAGGACATGCAGATGAGTACACAGAGACAATGTCAAAGACAGAAGAAAGGGCAGAAAGAAGAAAAAAGGCACACAACAGGGCGCATATGGTTTAAATGATAAAGTAGAAAGTAGGTGCAATAATTTACATGCTCACCATCCTACGTGTCAAACCTAAACAACTCACTTTCTTCTTTATGGATCTGAACCACTATACCACAAGAAAGCGGTGCCATCGTCTCCGAAACTGGACCCCCTTATTAGGCACTGGTGTGAGATGAGATTGCTCCATGGGAGAGTTTTTAGTGGAAAGGTGTTGAATCAAATTTCCAATGAGACATACTTTCCATTGCTATCAACAATGGATAGACAGTGCCAGTGCTGTAAATAGTTTACAGAACTCACAAAGAGAAAGAGGCGGATGTGAATGCAGCCACACATGTATCTAAAAAACAAATATACCCGTATGCATGGACGGATGCATAGCGCGTTTGCATGTTTACAAAAGTGTGTACACCGTAAACACACAAAAGGAGTTAAATTTTCCATAGTTGCTCTTCTTTGTAAAAGTTTGGCGATCCGTAAAAAACCTGTAAAAGGTCCTGTTGGTCTTTTTTTTTTGTGGGGGGGGCTGTTTATCTTTATGGGTATGTTCAAGGTTTATTACAGTCTCAGTATATGTATAGCAGAGATTCAGCACGTCATGCTAACCTTCAATTATGACTGGCAAACAGATCTCTCATAATTAAAATCAAACCAGTCTCACAAGACAAACACTGCATGATGAAATTAAATGTTTACACAGCGCGTGAAAGATGTAAACAAAACGTTAGCTTGGAGTTGTCATATACAGAACAACAGTAATAGGAGCCAGACTGATTTATCATAGGGCCAATATCATCAGCTGGTAATTAGCCATTTGCTAATGAATCACAGCAGCAATTACAGTCGGTAAATTACAATTTAAAAGATTAAAAGTAAAGACGACCCTTCAACCATGTTATGGGTGTGGAAATAGAGTTTGTCCACCTGAGGCATTCAACAATTTCCTCTCCTACAAAGACAACCCCAGCCCAGTTTATGTCCAGCTGTGTTGGGAAAAACTAAATGCTGCCAGATGTATCTGAATATTGGAGGAGAAAAAAAACAAAAAAACAAAACAAAAAAACCACACACACCACCAAATATTGGTCTATGCCTTAAAAGTCTAATAATAAAAAATAAAATTAAAATAAAATACAAAAAAAGTCTAATAATCAGTCAGGCTTTCATCTTTTGCCGCTTTATTAAATCATTGCTTGTTACAATGCTCGGCACAAACAACACATCACATCACCGCAGCTCTGCTTCAATGTTAGTGGAAACTGTTGGTTTGTAACAACTCCAGTTCCTCTCCACATTCCCCAAGACCGCACTTTACACTCTGCATAGAATATTTAATTTAATATGTGTATTTTTAACACGCTCTGTGGGAATTAAAAACAAAAAACATCAAAAACATTCACATGCAGAGTGAGTCACCCACTATAATAAAGTGGTTTCGAATATTTACCCAATATGCCTGCTTTACTAACATACAGACAAAATGTTTGCACAGTTAGCAATTTAATCTGAAACTCAAAGTCCTCGTGAGACATTAATCTTTTTAACCGCATGACCGATGATTTACCAAGGTGTGTTTGATACCTGATGAGCTTGGCAAGCAGTGTCTGGAACAGTTTTGAAAAAGCCAGACCAAAAAAAAATTAAATAAAACAAAACTTTTTTTTTATAATTTAAAACTAATTAGATAAAATGTATCAGTGAAAACAGACGATAAATGCAACTTCTTTCAAAACCAGTTATGGGAAAGACACTTTTTTTGTTTGTCTATTCCAAAAACAGAGAAACTCTGCTATAGCTGATGCTAGAGCGCAGTATACACCAGTCCAGCTTGTTTCCTTTTTGACTGTCGTCACACCAAAAAAAGACAAAAAAAAAATTTAAAAAAAGACAAAAAAGAAAAACAAAACAAAACCACAGCCGTGGATGCCAGGGAACTCAACTGTGGTTCACTCACAAGCACATATGCTACACACTGGGCAAGACGTAATCTTGCAGATCTCATGAGAATCCAGCTGCCTCACAAGGTACCTGGATTTATGGCACATCTAGGATTTCAAGCTCAGAACGTTTCCACACAACTTTTGTTTTTTGAGGGAGGGCTCAGAACGACTCAGCTGGAACTAGAGTCTGTGATCTCGTACCAGAACAGGCAGGAGCTGCAGCCAGAGTATTTATGAGAAATAGTCCACCCCCATATTACTGTAAACTGCTATGTTACTGTAACCAGTGTTGGCTGGTTCCATATGAAGATCATTAACCTTGTTAATAGAGAGACTCCAGCTTCCAGGAACAGACAGAAGAGTCCCTAAATCTTTGTCAGCACATAACAAACACACATGCCAACATTCAGCCATGTGTGCAGGTACACATGCTCACAAACAAACACACACGCACACAAACGCTTCCAGTCCACATCTCACTATTTTCCTTAAATCGAGCCGCAAACCCTCTTGAAAACATGTGCACTGTACAGTACAGTGTCATCACATGCAAGCAATAAACATGCCTCAGACGAGCAAAACACGGGGCCAGGAGACTTTCCCAAATGTTTGACATGGCTAGCATACAGATGATTCACAATATTTAAAATCTGCATCCTTCAAAACAAATACAGCACTTTGAGTCGAATGTGCTTCAGTCAACAACATGAAAATAAATCAAGGGTCTGTGAATGTGTCACATCCAGTTCTTCAAGAGGGGAAAAAAAGTCTTCCATGTTCTCCCAAACAATAAGACAAAAAATGTTTTTGATCCAACACATCCAAACGCAAAGAGATTAACATGTAAAGTATGGAAGCCCGTTTCCGCCACAAAAAAAATTTAAAAATAAATAAAGATCCATAACTTGAAATTTCGAGTTAGCGCTGCCAATCAGTAATCTACGTGAATGACGTCATTTCCTTGTTACCCGGAAGCTGAAGCCCTGAGCTACAAATGCTACAGCTAAGCTACCAGTCAGTCTATCCAGTCATGAATCCACAGATTGCTGAGTATTTTCAGCGTGGCTTCAAACATAATGAAATCCTTGTGTTATTAGCTGAATCACATGACGTCGCTATCAGCAAACGTGCACACGAAAGCGCCAATTTGTTGCGATGCGGTTTTGAGTGCGCGTTACTCTGCGCCATATGCTTCCGGGTAACAAGAAAATTCACGTAGCTTAATGATTGGCAGAGCTAACTCGAGAAAAGTAACTCGAAATTTTGAGTTATGTTTCTCCAAATTTCGAGTTAATAAGTCGAAATTTCAACAAAATATTTCGAAACTTCGAGTTATGGATACTTGTTTGTTTTTTTTAAGTGGCGGAAACTGGTGAAAAAGAGGCGAAAAAAAACCCAACTTGTGAATTTTACTTACATATTTGCCCGAGGAAGGTTCCCCAGGTGGTAGAGACCCAGGACTGAGGACAGGTGAGCTAGCTGGACTGCAGAGCTCAGGGAAAGGGTTGGGGATGGCCGGGAGAGATGACGTCCTCAGCTGCTGCTCCTGCTCCTGCAATCTCCTGAAGAAAGAGGCGGATAAAGACGTGTAAAGTGGTTTGATGAACAGAGCATCTCTTTTGGTTTAAGCTTATGTTTATTATTATGGTTACAAAAAACCAAAAACAAACTTTAGTCCAAGTCCATGACCTGGAACAGCCTTTTTAGAAGCAAACTTTAAAACAGAGCTGCTGACAGCTGTGAAATACGTGCAGGAAAGGCGGCTAGAATTAATCAAGTTCTGCTGTACAGTATTCAGCCTCATGCCCGTTTCTGTCTGATCTGCTCGTAATGAACAGTCTCGAAGCAAGTGGAAATCACAGAGCCACCCCAGCCAGCTAGTTAATTTTTTCCAATTAATAATACATCAATGACGAATCAAGACATCGCTTTAAAGCAGATTTCTCTTTTTTAAATACATAAATTTGGCACATGCAGTGTAAGACTCAAATTATTATCGGACAGCCAATCAACCATTACTTTCAGTATTTTTTAAATTGGCAAGTCTGTTTGTGGAATCCCAGCTTAATAACTACAAATAAACAAATGTGTGGAAGACTGCTTAGCCTCCGTTTCTCTTCCTCAGTCGAGCTCTGTCGCTCCGAAGAACCCAGCGAGTTCAAAAGGGAACGGGCCTTTTGATGTCGTCCCATCTGAGCCAGAGAACAGGGTTATCTAGAGGTCAGTCCTGAATAATAAGAACTTCAGGGCCTGCTTCTGTGCATTTGAAAAAGAGCGCTCATAAGACAGAATACTCCATTACCTGATGCTCCCCTCCTGTGTTATTGTCACATAGTCCAAAGGCGAGTAATGGGCGCTGACACCAGCTCTGCGGTGCATGCACGCAGCTATACTTCTATTCTCCCAACGTGTATGAGTGCAGCCTCGAGGAGGATGCGGGTTAGCACGGTTTAATTTGAAAGAGACATATGCACATGGTACTTAAATAAATGAGAATCTTCTTCTCGCCTTCGCAGGCTGATGTAAAAGAGGAGTGAAAGGGAGGAACGGGTCATACAGGGGTTACAGATCGGGAGCCAGGAGGAACCGTTATGCTCAATTATCGAGTGGGTGTGGAGGGATGATGGTGTACAGTGAAAATTCTCTTTTGAAATTTGAAGAGAAAAAAAAGGGTTTGAAGTCTTGCTGTGCGGCTACGCATGTGGCAAACGCATAATACGAGGCTGAAAGAAGTTTGTGGCTGAAGTTACTACCACACTTTTGCTGATTCTGTGGGTGCACGAGCAGTTATAGCCCTGTTGTTTTTAGCATTTTTTTAAATTTACTTATTTTAGGGCGATGATTGCACATGTCTTGACAGTTAACAGAGGATGAATGAGATGCCCAAAGATGGTGTAACATATACTGAAACCTAATGTCTCAGATTAAATGGAGCCTGAACTCCCATCCAGCTCCACATTTAACTTTGAATACTACCAAGTTACTTTGCACACATCACAGACTAAGAGCATGCTTACTCCTCTTATCCTGGTACTTACTAAAGCCCCTCAGTTCATCTACTGCCTCAAACAAGCATTTTTAGCACCCTCTCCCCTTCTGTAAAGCCAACTCTGATCTGATTGGCTGTGCCTCACACACAAAAGTTTTGAACAGGAGGTACATGGAGTTTCTGCTTCTGCCGTCACTGTGGAAAACCAAATATTTAGAACAGTCTGAAGCTTGAGCCTTTGGCTTATGAAGATTACAACGACTTACACTGACCTAATTTGAAACTTTGGCCACGTAGAATTGAGGGGGGCAGCATAATAGATTCTCTTTATAGGTTTCCTCCAGTCCGTACTTTAAACCCATACTCTAACACTGAAAGTTACGTTTACTATCACATCAAGCAAAAAAAAAAAAAAAAAAAGAAAGCTCATAACTGGAGGAGATGAAAGTAGTTGAGCAGCTACCTGACAGCATTGATGTGCATCGGCTGTGACCGTCGGAGGCCGGTTTGAGGCGAGTCTGAAGACGAGGAGGGCGGCTCTGGGGAGATGTGGCTTATCCCGTGTGAGTGCTGTCCCTGCCGTGGCTGGTTGTGTTGATGTGCTTGATGGTGGTGGCTGTGTGACGTCGAGGTCTGTCCGTTGTGCAGCAGAGGAGTCGATTCTGTCTGTGGACCGCTGCACGAGTACAGGCTCTCCAGTGAAGAGTCCATTTCATTCACCAGGGCCTCTAAGTCGACATCATCCTCTAAAAGACACAGATATGGCAGAACAAATCTGTGAGTTAGCATTAACCTGACATGAGCTCCTGTAAAGTAACAGCATGAACTGCTTGTGTAATGAAAAGAACTACAACAAATCGACAAACACCAAAGGGAACCAGTGCGCATATTAAATTTGAGGTTTCAAATAACGTGTATGTGAAATTTGCACTGTGGGCCAAGGTCATATGTTTTAGATCGGTCCAAGCTCTTCTGTAGGCTCAGGAGGTAGAGTGGATCATCTACCACTCAGAAGGTAGGTGGTGGTTCAAACCCTGGCTGAGTTCAGCATCTTGCCTCTGTGCGTTCATTAGTGTGTGAGGTAGGTTTAAAGTGCTTAGTTACAGAATTTTGAGTGCTTAACTTAAAAAGTACTATATGAGTACCAGTCCACTCCTTTTCTGTATTCCTTTTTTTAAACCGTATACTTGTTTACAGGGTGGGGGCCTTGAAGTGATAGGAGCTAAAACAGCCAACGCAGTTAAAAACAAAAAAAAAAAAACAAAAACAAAAAACAGTTCCTTTAGAGGAGACTTCAAAATAAATATTAAAAATAAAAAGTCAGCCCCCATAAACTCAGTGTTAAAATGTCCAACTTTAGCATTTAAAAGCATGTTCACAGCCTGGTAGAAACAATTTTGGCATCTATGGATACTTTTCCCCACTTTAAAAGATCGGCAACTGTGACCGTCAGCTGAAACTCGCTCCAGCCAATAGAGCAGCTGCTGTGAAACCATGTTCAAAAAGTTCATACAGACAACTCAAGTGCCCAAATACCTAAAAATCTAAAGGTGAAAATCAGCATAATAGGTATCCTGTAAGTGCAACAACACAGTGGGGTTGGGGGTGCGAGTGCTGCAGACTTATAGGACTGATTCTTATTTTAAAACACAGTAAAATGATTAAGTCCCTGGGTATTCAGCCACTTTCCCCTTTCAGTTTCTCATCTAGCTGTGGCCTGGATTTGAACCTTTGCACTAGTAACTCAAGGTAAAAGAAAAAAAGAAAGAAAATGCACAACACACAAGCGCCCACGCAGACACGCGCACAGATTTGTTGCCAGTTTTGCCAGAGTGCTCAATCAGCAGGAATATCTTAACATCTCGACTGAATACACCGTAATGCCCTGTGAGCCAAATCTCCAGGGAGATCAGGTACAAGCACAAACCTGCCCATGACACTTTTCAGCTCCAACCGTTGGGGTTCAATGTAAAGGCACCGCACTGCAAGCATCTGCTCTGCATTCAGGGCAGCTTTCAAACACTCAGCTTTTAAATGTCTTTAAAAGAAAGATGTGAAATTCTTCTCAGAAGGTGTCTATCTTCAAAGTCCTCGCGAAAACCTCCAGGCACATTTAAATTCATGAAGTGAATTTTTCAACCGACTCCAGGAGCATGTTTTATCAAAGCCTGACGTGAGCTCAGCTGAAGGGAAACTCGTCTAATTGCTCCATGCTGTGAAAGTTTGAGCATCTGGGTAAACTGACAGCCCAACTTTGCTCTTTTTAAATTACAATCCGCAGCTGTGATTCTGCTTGTGATTAATAATTCTCCATTATGAAAAAGAAATTATCCCATGAATTTATCATAAGGTCTCTGTAGAGATCCCAACCGTGCTGTTGCACAAATGCAAACCACTAGAGGGAGACAAACTAATTGGATGAGGAAAGGAGCTTTGAGACTCCTGAAAACAAACATTTTTCAAAAACTACATTAAATTTGCATCCCTTGAACACAGGACCAGAAGACTTTTGGGATTAGGAAGCACTGAGGTTGTTAGTTTCTTGTTCAGCAGTGAAGATGCCCTTTGTGAAAAATCTTATGTGGATGGATTATACATCTATGCTCATTTATGAATATGCACACGTCAGCTTTAGATTATAGTTCTGTTAGTAACTAATTGGTAAGTCTAAATGAAATGGAAAGTAATACAGATGCTTTGTTAGCACCAGCCGCCTCCTGCATCCACAAAACCTTAGGCTATACCCAGTATACTTGAGAAAAAAAAAAATACTAATCTAATGAATGTAAATTAATACTACATTGTAACTTTAACAGACACCAGCCTGCTGTCAGAATTCAAATGAGCCCCACATGCCTCACGTACTGTCCCTGCTGACTCAGAGTGCAGCACACCTGACAGCTGGATCATGCAGGTGTCATATCACAGGTAAAAATCCCATGACTCGTCAGAAAGCTTACATTGGAAAACTGTAATCTGACTAATGTAGTTTTAAAAGCACTGGCCTCAAAGTGAGCACCAGTCTGGCAATGGGCCATTTTTCTTTTGGAAATGCCACTTTTTCCCTCTTCTGGGAAAAAAAAAAGGGAGAAAAAAAAAAAGAAGAAGGAGGGATTAAACAACAAGAGGCGTCACAGGTTAGTGAGTCAGTATCTTCACGCAAACATCTACATGCAAAGGCATGGCTCTGCCTCTAGCTATAGCTACCTGCTAAAACTTTTGTGTCGCCTTTGAGGACCTTTTCCTTAAAACAAAATGTAAGGAAGGTGCACCACAGGTGTCTGAACTGCTGGCGCTTAATCTGCAGGTATAAATAGTGACAGATAAGCTGCAGCAGCTACTTATAGATAGCCTAGAGAGCTAAAGACCTATATGCCACAGGATCCAGGGTGCATACGGGGCTAAACACAGGACTAAGGACAGACAACACAGTTGTAATATCGAACAGAGCACCACGACCTGCATGCTGCACCTGTTGTTTAAAAAAGGAAATCTACATATATCTAAAAGTTTAGAAAATCTACATGAAATGTAAGACCAAATTTCAAAAATTACTTTTATCCTTTTTATTCTTCAGAGATGCGACATGACCCTCAAGGTAGGGAGAGCATGTACCCGACCTAGTATGGCTTCTGGGGAACTGTCAGCATACAAAGAAACACCACCCATTAACTCTTGCAGCTATGGAAGACTTGTGCGTCATTATCAGTCATATGATCGCAATCACCAATGCATGTCACAATCGCACAAACAAAGATATGCGTCATGCTCCGTGGCGTGAGGCAGACAGACTGATGACACAGAAGGCATGCAGGCAGGCACGCACACATGCACAGGATTTAAACTCTGAAGATCTGGAGAGGGAAGCAGCCTATCATTGTTCGTCGTTGGACACAGCCCAGAAAACAGAAGCTACACGTGATACTTGGCTTTGGCAGCCACGAGAAATGACACAAACCTTTATATCTATCCTCACATGTGCTCTCACTATATTACAGAAATTATAATATACTAATAAAATATCACAGCAGCTCGTGCAGCAGGAAGCACACATAGCTGCAGCTTTAGACTCAAAACAGGGAGGAAAGAAAGAGACAAGTAGCAGCTCTGATGCATATGCTTAATGTACAGCATCACTACCATGTTATGAGCCTTGTTGTAGGCATGGAGCTTTAAAACAACACTGAACCTCGCTGTGAAAGCCATTACACAGTTGCTGCACTCCTATTCACCACCATGCGCAAAGTTTACAGAGCAAAACAGATTGAAAGAACCAACAGATAGCAGGATTTATTTAAAGCTGTATTCACCCGAGAGGCATCTCTGTTAAAAATCTTACAGCTACAGGCTCTGACTCAGCCTCATCTGTTCCTCACAGGAAGTATTTACAAATGCAACAGGGATCACACAACAGAATGGGTAGGAAGGAAATCACTAGCGGCAGAAATTAGTCCTAATACTGAGCGGTAAATGGATATGAGCACAGGTAACAAGTACCTCATTACTTAATCCTTCCGCTAAATTAGTCCTTTAAGAGGTGCGATTATCCTGGATCCTATCATCTTAGAGACTGTGCATCCACGTGGAGGTGGTTCAGTTACTGTGCTTTTCTTCTACATTTGAAGAGCACTGGGTCACTATTTAAGCTCCATTTGAGCAAATTGCTTTAACTGTCATATTTGATAAGTATATTTTTGGTTTATTCATAATAACCAAATCCTTTCCCCTTTTCTTTTTAAAGAACTCGGCCTAAACTCCACTGGAGAAGTCAGATCCAAATATAAAGCCTCGACCGCTCCAACACCAACACGGATATTACTGTTCTCATTTACTCATCGTTTCACTTCTCCCATGAGTGGAATTCATTCCCTCCCCTCCTCCTCTGACATCTTTACTGCCCTCCCTCCTCTTCATAGGACCCATAACAGGTTAAATTAGGGGTAAAAATAGCCCAAGCACCCTCTATTGTTTGAGCCACGCCAAATACAGTCAGAACACACTGAACTAGTTGGACCTGACAAAAATCTGCATGAAATCCGTTTTGAATATTTTGGATCATTAGCGAGAGAGCGACGTGGACAAAAGCAAGACTATTGCGATGATGGCAGACACGTATGGCTCTCCAGGAATGCTGCCTTTTCATCTTTTATTCATTCCTGCTAGTTAAGAAAACAAAAAGGGCCGCAACCCTAAAGAAGGGGGAATATATACATATACAGTACATCAACTGCACACACACACACACACACACACACAAAAGATGTACTGAGGGACAAACAGCATTTGAATACGAGCCCAGCAGAGGGGTTTACATTCAAAGAGATTGGGGGAGTATAGACGGGCCAAGTCTGAACTGTTAAGCGTGGCTCTGCACTGGGGAGTACAATACCTCCGGTGACAACACCCACTGAGGGCCAAGCCTCCTGATTTGGAGGGAGTGTGGGATAGGGTCTGAATGAAACTGGAGGAGAGGAGGAGGAGGGGGAAGATTGGACAAGAACTGAAGGAAAGAAAATACAGGAGTGAACAGAGGATCAGAAACACATCTGAGTGGGAATTATATGTAAAAGGAAAAGTGGGTGAAATTGCTTAGAGTGATAATTAACAGCGCAGATCTGGCTAGAGGGATGATGGTCTATCAGCTGGCTGACCACTGTTAATCTCTCAATAGTGTTAGGCTTGCCACAGAGTTATATGGTTCACAGGGCCAATTATAATATAATATCCCTTGTTACACTCTCACAAATCTTCTCACACTGCTATACACGTCCAAACACACCTTCTCAATGTTTGGGGTCTGACCAAGTATTCACCCTTGTTCTTTGCTGCATGCCTGCACACAAAAGCCCAAACCCAAAAGCTTTGCAGCTGCCACACTGATGTAGCTCTTGCTAAAAGCATTTCAAACCTCCACCCACTAGCTTCCCCTTAAGTGAGAAGTTAGCATTGTCACTCCCCTGCTGGGATGACCTTGACATATCTCTGTGGGAAGCCAAAGTGTCAGAGCTTAGGCATAATACATACAGGACCTAAGAATGAATTTCACATGAACTGGGTGAAATGCTGTTAGTTAAAATGGTGCGTCTGTCACATCCTCCTTAAAAATACCAAGCATAACTTGAAGAGCTAGGACCTTCATTTCCAGCCTGAGATCTTGACTGGTTGACCCCTTGAGGAGCCACGCCATCAGATTACTGAACTGCATTGGTTGCATTGGTAGCATTGATGGGATTTGTTGCCTAGCAGCTGCATACCCATCACAGATATGCCCCCACCACCACCAGGAACAATGGTCACATCCATGTTTACCAGTGAGGGTCTGAGGTGCGACAGTGGAGAGATGTGGGACTCAAACATCTTACACTTGTGGCAGATGGCATTTTGCTACATTCACTGGATTCAAAAAGGCCAATAAATACTGCTACTATTAAATAACCTTTACATAGTCACATTCAGAGGATTTCATCTTGCAGTCGGCAAAGTGTATTTATGACAGAAGACGTTTAAGATGTGTTAGACAATATGGGTCTTTTTTTGCCTTCATAAGGAGAGAACGATGTCAGAACAATTCCAAAATATGAGATAACACCCAAGAATTCAGATTGTAAAGATGCCGATTTTCCTTATTGTCAGAGATACATCAGAACACACAAAAAACTTGCTGTGTCAAAACACATGCTGTCATTAAGCTCCGTTATACCAGAGAAATAACTGACGCGAACATGGAGAAAAACAACAGAGGCAGAAGGAATTAGCACACTCTGAGCCCTTGACACGAGATGACTCACGTGGCATGCTAAGGTACTGGACAATGTGGTCTTGTCAGTTTTCTGGTTACGCACTTGGACCAACATAAGCTGTGCAAAACACTCAACTCCACACTAAATTAATTATAACCTAATGTGGTTAGCACAGCTGCATGTTGAGAACATCATCCAGAGCAGCTCCTATTTCATCAAATCAAATACTGGCTTGCAAATGATTCGATAAAGGCCATTGTCCAACAAAGCTGTACTGTTTCATTTGTGAATACTTGTGACTTTAATGGGCTAAAAAGGATAAAAGTGGATAGTTATTTGAAAACAAGCTTAACAATGTCAGCAAGTACAGTGATTCGACTAAAAATCCAGATGTACCAATCGAGTGTTAAAGTGCTTGAATGAGCTCTTGTAATAATTTGTCGTCCAATGTATGAAACTGTGTAAAATAAGCATGACAAAGAGATATTCCGAGTGTGTAAACAAAAATATCGCCTAGTGACACTGCTCTCCATTCATGTGCCTCTCCAGTCCTCAGTTCCCTCTATCCCAGATGATCCTGAAAAATGACAATGTAATTTCTGCTCCATTTATTTCCCATGCCAGCGACAAGCGTTCTAATTCACTGGTTGAGTCCTCACAGACTCCCCACCCTTACCTCCCATGCTGAGCCAATATTGTGTTTAAATCTCATGCTCCGATTGTCATGGATGAGCCCTGTATGGCACAATTCCATAGACAGTGTAATTATAATAGCACCCTGCGTCCATGCACATCATCCTTTGAACAGCTCAAGTGTTGACAGCGGAAGAGACCCAAATATATATCACACCCCCAAAACCAACACGCGAACACAATGGCAATGGAAAAATGTTTGATGTGTATTTTATTTTATGTATATTTTAAATAGCATGCAGTCTTAAATGACAAGCTCCAAAACATGCTCAAGACTAGACATTTTAAGTGTGCAATCAGGTAAAAAAACAAAACAAAAAAGACCAACCTTGATGGTTAGGAGAACTCTGATTGGCCGGTTGCTGAAATCTTGGACCAATGAGATCAGTCTGTCTGTGATTGGAAGACCGGTCTATATTTTCCTGCTGAGGGAGAGAGAAGCAAGAAGACAGAAAAAAAACAAAACAAATAATAAAGAGTTGCTTAGAACTTTGTTACAGTAGCCAATGTAAACATGCATTATCTAAACATGATCAACATTTAAAATCACCAGTATATTACCCCTTTAAATGTCAGCTGAATGCAAATTTTGTTTGTTTTCTCTCCCCTTTCATTCATTTATTTTTAAATTAACCATTCATGCTGTGGAACTGAACGCCCACATGGTGGAGCACGTTCTTGTTGAAACTTGTTCGATCACGTAAAGGACCGATGTGTAGGAATTAGTGGCATCTGGCGCAGAGTTTGCAAACTGCAACCAGCTAAATATGCCTTTCTCACAAGCATGTAGAATAATCTTATGGTGGCCATCATTTCCATGTGAAACCACAACACGAGGACCTCTAAAGTGCCAGTGTTAGGGTCGTTTGTCCTGGTCTACTGTCAAAATAAGCAACAGAAACAACCACTGATAGGAACCGGTGATTATACATGAACGCATATATCATTTTGAATAGTATATTCCATTTCTGGAAATCATTTTTCCTGCAGAGCTGCACTTTAAAAGGCGAAGCTATAACTAAACAGAAACAGCTTTTTTTCCTAAGAACATTTTAGGGGAAGTAAAAGCTATAAATGGAAATAACCAACGGAAAACAAACCTCAGTTACAAAGCCTTCAGAAAACCTGAGCCAACTCATTCTCTACTCTCCCTACACTGCGAATGTAAAATGACACCACATATAGCATAAACAGTGTGCGAACATGGGCAGGTGTGCATCAGAGCACAGATGGAAAGCACTTAAGATACCACTCATCCACAGTGTCCTCGATTGCCCTTTGTTATGCTGGCTTGAAGCAGTCCAGTCAGGACAAACTGTTCAAAAAGTCAGAAATAAAATAAAAATCAGAGTAAAAGGAGCGACCATGTACATTTGTGTAAACATATTCGTCTCAGATTTGTTTCTGGCACAGCTAGAGCAACTTATCATTCGTCTGTGTCCCGACTAGCGTCCCGCACAGGACCTGACACAGCAGGAGAGGGAACAGAACGTTCTGGGTGGACAGTGTTCAGAAAAACATCACTACTCACTGTAAGCACACAAGTCCTCCTCTGACGCTGTAATAAAAGCTGCTACAGTAGCTTGTTCCGTCTCATTTAGAGTACAGACAATGCAGGCAGAACTAGATTTTTTTTTTTTTGTATAAAAACACACCTCACAATTCTTTTTTTTTTTTAATTGTTTTTTGAAACTATAATGGAGTCTTTGTGCCCCACATTGGAGTTAACAGGTCAAAAGCATTGCAACAAGCAGCCTTTTGCTAATACATTTAAGGTTTTAGGTGAATCTCATTAAATTGGTTTCCTTGCAGCGCAGTGCTTGATGGCAACAACACATTTAATCTTTATCTTGTTACACAAATGTGATTCCTAATCAAAACTGATTTTACACCGTAATGTAAACACTATAACAAGCTTTATTATTCTCACGCTCAAGTTTTAAAGCATTTTGACATCTAAAGTAACCCCACTAACCAGGACTGTTGAACAGTTCAAAGAGGATCTAGTCACTTTGAAATACTGTTGAATTTCACCCTGATGTCTCCATTCTTCAAAAATAATGGTACTGCTATACTGAATTAATGCACGTTTAACTTTTTTCTCTCCTCTGTTAAAAACCAAAGCCTTGGTAAAAAAATAAAAAATAAACTGGTATACATGCTATGTACTTTGTCAGTGTATGTCTGTCGACCACCGCTACCCCTAACCGCTTTTCTATACCAACTAACCCAACCGCATCCAATCATTAAGCTGTATTGTTCAGTCTTTTATTGTCTTGAATTTCAGTGGTATTTCTCCCCCCCCCCAGAAAGAAATGACCACCACACTACTACATTTGTTCCCATAACACAGCAAACCCATCATCAACACACACCGTCTGGTCCAGCTACCAGACTGTGACTGATCCCTACACAGTCACCCAAGCAGTTTGGTTGGCGTGCAAGTGTATCACAAAGTTGCTGTGTGTATTCAGGACAGGATGGTCATGGTTGAGCATCACTGAGCAGAAGTGTAAAGACTCTTTCACACCATATACTGTTCTTCAATGATGTATGGCATGGCTGTCTGGAAGTAAATCACACGCACGCACACACACCTCGTGTCTTACCAACATAAAGGAAAAAAAAGGTTCTTTTTCCTGTATTCTTGCATTTTGTCATCACACCTCTGAATCTTATAAGCACAGGCACATATGCACAGACTTCCCCACCCACCCACATATCCTGCACACTATTAAGGGGCAAAAAGCAGGACTTTGACTGTAGGCCAAATTTTGACAAGGAGCACAGAAGAGCCCTTTCATTTTAATGAAGTTGAAAAGAACTTCAAAAAGAAGTCAGGAGGTTGAGGATTTAACCCTTTAAAAAGGGGTCAGTGGAAGGCCAGAGGCAAGGTTAAGGCACAGACGAAAAGGAGTGGAGGCTGGACCTCAAACACACACTAGTAGTTGATTCACATTCACCAGTAAGTGAAGTCATCATTGTTAACACAGCTCAACATTCCACTCTGATCCTGACAGTCTTCTCTTCACCATTGAGTTCAGACTGTTGCTAGTTTAGGTCGTTTCCATCAGTTGAATTCAAAACTAGCTCACGTGAGTATGATTCAAAACGTCGGTACCTCAGCAGCCTTTTATTTAAAGCCGAGTTATCAGATTACAACTGTCAAGCAAGCGTCACTCACAAGTGAGGGGAGGTTTTTTCCTCCTGCCTGGCAGCTCCATCTTCAACATCCTTTTTCTCCAGTACGTTCAATTCAAAATTTTTAACTTTACAGTGCACACAGTAATTACATAAGCACCAACTGTGCTCATTTAGGATCCTTACTGCAAAACTGTCCACTTGTCCTCTGCACAGTGGACACTACACGCTTGACTGCAGTCTGCAGACATTAGAGAGGCTGAAGCTTTTAAGTATCACAGGATAAAAATTGCACTTTCTATTACCGTTTTAATGAGAACAAAAATTCTTTAAATATAAGATCACTAATGCTAAAAGGGTCCTAGTCTTATTTCAGACTGACCTACTGGGAAAAAAACAACGCTAATTGGCTTGTTGCAACATACAGTACATGAACACTAGGCAGCAAGTGGAAATCCCTTATTACATAACTAACTAGAATGAGATCAGGAGGTCACACTAATGTCTGCTACAAAGCTTTGTTGATTAATTTGTTTATACTGTGGAAACGTAGCTGTAGCTGTAGTTAAAATCAAATGAGCCATGGCAGAGCTGGGCCATGACAGACATTTGCATAACATTACAAGACTGAGGGCTTTAATCACCACTTTTTAGTCTGGAAATGTTATAGTAGTAAACCATTTCAGGTTTTGTGCTTATAAAGAAAAGAAGAGCCTTGAATATCCTTTACAGATCCTTATGACTGCTTAAAGAAACTACAAAAGTTGTTAAAAATGAACAAACTCTAGTTTTGCCCTCACGTGTAGCATACTGCTGGTCTTAATGTTCATGCACTGACAGTAAACTGGAAAAGTGAAAAGATGCACATCTTCACACTGCATAAACAAGGACAGTCTTTAGAAACTCCGAACTGCTGATGTTAAGCCCAAAATGACATGCAAATGCTCAGGTAACTCTTGTTATAACTAGCATTAATATTAGCGTCCTGGGGTTGGTGCATGTTTATTCAGTGAACATTTCGTGACAGTATTGTTCACTGGCATGTGGAGATCTCTTTAGATGGCATTTTAGTGTTTTAGTCCTTGTGTCACAAGGAACTCTCCTTAGTTACATAAAACCACATACACTGACATTTATACAGACTTGGACTTGGTAGGGCATAGTGTAGCTTCCTAGCAAGCGTCCTTTACTTCATCAGATGTGCCTAGTTCTGCACATATAGATCATTTAGCCAGCAGTCAAGATTATCAAGATTACATCTGAAACAAGATTAAAGTGGTGATATAATCCCTGGAGTATAGAATGAATGTTATCTTTAGCTGAATCGGTTTGGTACTGCTGCTTCAGTTTTATCAGGGAAAATCTTCCACAACCCTGGAATTTCACAGTGAATGGGTTTTCTCATCCAGTGAGTCAAGGTACATCTGTTATAGGTGAATGGTTTCCAAACAGCCGAGTGAGCGAGTACTACTGTGTGTGTGTGTGTGTGTGTGTGTACATTAACATCCATATACTACAGCTGTAACAGGACCCGCCCAATCCATTGGCAAAGAAATAAGAGCTAAATGATGTCTCATTTCTTTCTGAAACAGCCTCCAGTCTGTCTTTAATTAGTGCTGAATAATCTAAAACAAGAAAAATATTAATGCAGGGCCAGATGCAGGAAAATTATTAGCCTACACATATTTACACTGCCATCTTTGGGCACCATGGTTTTTTGTTTGTTATTTTTTAAATTCACTGTGCCTTTTCACTTTCTGGCAGCTTTTTCAATAACTTGTTATTAAAAATAAAACCAGCAGATACAATATACAGCTGCTAGAAATTGCTGTATATTGTAGTAGAACCACTGACACAAACCTACTACATATACAAGTATGTGAGCACATGTACATAAAAGAAATTTGAAAACTGTGCCAAAATAAATGAATCGACACAGACTAGCAGACTGAACTGTATCGCACAGCCGGACTGGCCTGCTCTGAATGCTTGGAAGCCCTTTGCTCCACTGAGGGTGATGTGATGATTCTGCTAAATCTAACAGCAAGGTCAAAAAGTCAAGTTTGTTCTTGTTCCTCTGCAACAAATGATGGCATTCGCTTGTAAATCAATGTCTGTGGAAATTTGAATTAAACAGAAAAAGACAATAAGGTCAGGGACAACTTGACCAAAAGACATAAATCCATATCTAAACCTCAGCAGTGTAAATTGTTAAGACAGATTTTGGGAGGGACAAAAGCAAATCAATACGGAGCAAATCAGCAGCTAAACCTCACTGAGGC